AGAGTCTTTTTGGCAAGTCTGTTGCGATTAGGCAAAGAAATACAAGGGCATCAGGTAATATATTATAGACTCAGAGTTTATTTTTAGTAATACTTTTAGTAAAATTTAATACTTGGTAACAATTATTTCTAACTAGTGGATTATCACAGCTGATTGGTGGGCATCATATGGTTCTAAAACTCCAAACTTGCAAACTTTTGCCATAAAAGTCATTAGCCTAACATGTAATTCATCGGGTTGTGAACGAAATTGGAGTGTATTTGAACATGTGAGTATTTAGCATTCTAATTAATTTTTTGTTCAATTCAAATATTTTTTATTCTCATTATATAGAATTTAATATCTTTTTAATACTTGCAGCTTCATAGCAAGAAAAGAAATAGATTGGAATGTCTCAATGATTTAGTGTTTGTTAAATATAATAGAACATTGAGATTTAGGTATGACATGCGCAACACTCTTGATCCCATATCTTTGCAAAATATTGATGAAAGCAATGAGTTATTGCTTGGAAGGATGGATGGAGAATCAGATAAAGATAATGAGCCTGTGTTTGATGATGATGATGGCTTGACGTGGGCCACTGTTGCTAGAACTTCTGGGGTAGAAGAAAGTAGCCATGCAAGTAGAGCAACAAGTTCACGCTTAAAGGCACAACCGAGGATATCTAAATCATCAAGATTAACTCCACTTCAATTAATAGATGAAGAGGAAGCGAGCTCAGATGACACAGAGGAGGAAGATGTTGAGGATACAAATCAACTGATGGAGAAGAAGATGATAGTTTGCTTGCCATTGATGTTGAGGATGATGATTGACTGATCGACCTAACCTACAATTTCTTTTGATATTAATGTTTTTAAGTGTTAAGACATATATTAGTATTTGTTGGATATTTATGCTTTGGATGTTTAGTATTTATGTTTATGTTTTTATTTTTATTTTTATTTTATTGAATGTGGATTATTTTATCTTTGAATATAGAAATGTCATGTAATATACACTTTCATGGCTTTGAGAATTATTCTATATTTTGTCTTGAATCTTGATTACTTTTTATTTTTAAAAAAATTATCTGAGTACTATGAATGATTAGTCTAAATTAATTTTTCTATTTTTTACTAAGACTGTGCGCCTTGCTTCAATAAAGCTCGCGCCTCGCCTTGCGCCTAGGCCCCAAGAGACCTTCAGCGCCTTAGTGCGCCTTGAGCCTTTAAAAACACTGTCTCATAGTACTCCAGATGCATTTCTCCACTTAAGCCACCTCGCCTTAATTCTATAGACCACATCCGCTCCATTCTCCAATCGTTGTTTACAAAAAATGGTATAACATAAATTTTAAAAATTCATAACAATTTTCTTAGATGGACAATGGAAAAAGATAACATGACATGTCACATGAGCAAATTCATTATTGGCAATTTTCACAAACAAAACTTCGGCTAGGTCGTCTACACAAACATTGCAAGTCTCTGTGTCCACAAGTCACTGATTAAGGTCATCTAAGCCAGCGCAATCTTAGCTCCACGAGTTAAAAGGTGTTTTTGGTTTCATTGACATAGGTTTGCTTACATTTCAGTCCAGTTGTGCACTTGGGAACCTGTGTTGGACAACCCTAGAGCTTCGGTGGAAGGGCTCTGGAGCAATCGCTTGGGTTGCTCACGTGAGAGGTCCTCTTGAAGCCTGCTTGAAAGCTGCTCAAGCGATTGGTGATGTATTGGACTTGTAGCAAAGTTCCTCTTAGAGGATGCTTAGGCAACACATAATTTTTGGAATTCATGCAAAATATTTGCTGACGAAACTATATATAGCGCAATCATACTTTTATTTTATACACACAAAGACTTTTCTGGTGCTCTAGCCTCCTTTGAATTCCAAGACTACTACAAGTCAAAGTCTTTTATTATAACAACCTTAGAGAAGAATCCTCAATTGATCTACTGCTTTATAGAACCTTCTCTGGATTGTATTTTGAAAAACCAGACACAATCTCACTGCAGTTGGCATATTCCTTGGCCGACATTTTTTGATGTCACTTAGCAAAGAACAGATACTTTCATGGACTACAATCCAGTTTCAAGAGAAGTTTGACATTTGGATCACTGCCGAGTGGAGATAGTGTGTTCTTGGAGTGTGTTTAAGTTTGAATTGTAAGTTATTTATTTGAGTCTTGTAATAACTCCTGATTTATTTGTCTGCCTATTCAAAGGTAAAACCCAAATTCAGGAATGAGAATTGAGTATTGTTCTTTTAGTCAAGAGAAAAAGTCAAGTTGCAGTATTTCTTAAAATCATAAGCCTCCATTTAATTATGCTTGGGGTGGGTTTGCAATGTTCTAAATAAGTGCACTTTTTGACTTTTTATATAAAAAAAAAAAATGTGTAGAAAAGTAGAGAAAGTTGGTAGAAAAGTACAGAGGAGATGTTGATTGATGTAACCCAAATAAGTGTATATATGCAAAAAAAGTATACTTTTTTAGTGCATGCCAAACAAGCACTTAGGGATGGTTTGGGATATTCTAAATAAGTGCATTTTTTGACTTTTTATAAAAAAAATAAAAAAAATGTGTAGTAAAATAGAAAGAGTGGGTAGAAAAGTAGAGAGGAGATGTTAATAGATGTTGATTGATGTGACCCAAATAAGTATATGTATGCAAAAAATATGCACTTTTTTAGTGCATGTCAAACACCTACTTAATGTGGTAATCTAGCCATTGAAGTCCAAAGAAGCACTCAGCCATAGCATGACCCAAGAAGTTTCAACAACTTCTGTTAGGCCCTTATCCAATAAAATGGTGGGTAGTAGACAAGTTCAAACCACGTAACCAACACACAGAAGTACATTGATGGTGATTTGTACCAAAGTGGCAACATAATGGCAGCATAGCAGTATCGTGAAAAGTTCCGCAACGGCACTAATTTGTAATGTTATCTATAATTAACAGGAAAAATAAAAGAATGAGAGATGAGCGTGTACAAAGTAATACTCACTGAGAAACTTGGTTCATTGGATCATCAGCCATCTGCTGCAGCTGCTCATATTTACGCTCAAGAATTAAGGAAACTTCACAATTCATCAAACACTTGGCCTTCAAAAATTCTAAGGGGGAAAAAACAGTTAAATGGCACCTTAAGTTAAATGAAGTTGGGTACAAGAATAAAACTCAGATCATGCGGTAAGAATCCTGAAAACTTTTCTGTATATGCAAAATTCAATGTGTCAAAGATTACAATCAGATCTTAGATTATATAGCCCTAAATCCTAAACCAAAAAGGAAAATACAAATACAATTATGTCTCTAACAGGACTCTAACTCAATAACACAATCATGCCTCTAATAGGACTCTAATTTGTACAAAACACACTCTAACTCAACACACTCTAACTCAATAACACAAATTTATAATATTCTATTATATTCTAACACCCCCGCTCAAACTCAAGGTGTTTTAGCAGAAAACACTGAGAGTTTGCTAAGAAGAAACTGAAACCGAGCAGTAGTGTGAGATTCAGATACAGATTCAGATGCAGATTCGATCTCATAAGGCATCCAGAACATCAGTTTCAGAGTCAGAGACAAATTCAGATTCAGATTCAATCTCAGAAGGCATCTAATTGACTAATAGATAATAAACTGACAGATAACTGAGGAACATATAAAACGGACGGAATAGAGACTGCAGACACAGTAGACAGTATAACAGACCCAACAGATATAACTGACTCGACTGAGAATCTAACTGAAAAGATGAAAGTGCAACGGGGGAGGTAGACTGAGGAAGATGCAGGCGTTCCACCACATAGAGATCTCCAACTCTACGGCCGGTCCCAATCTGCTTCTTGGATACCCGATCCTGAAGAGGACCCAAGCAAACCTGAATGAGAAGAGGTGAGAGCGGAGGCAGATGGGGATGACTGAGAGGTGGACAAGATATGCTGAAGTTGTGCAACCTGAGCACTCAGGGAAGCCAAGTCAGGATCAGAAGCCGGAGCAGATGAAGTATAAGCAATAGGAGGGTGAAAAGTACTCGGAGCAAGACCTCGGAATTGTGGCTGAGATGATTGAGCAGACTGACGGTTCTTCTTAGGACAGTTGTACTTCCAGTGACCCTTTTGATAGCAGAAAGCACACTCATCTGATGCTAAGGGCCCCTTTGTGGGTTTGACAGAAGACAGGGGCAGAGACGCAGATGGAGGTGCCAATAGGGGTGGCTGTGTTAAGAAGACTGAAGGAGACATAGTCTGATTGGTTGTTTTGAGACGTGTTTCTTCGGAAAGAAGCTCACGAACAATAGCATCCACAGAAGGGAGAGGAGAACGGTGAAGGATGCCACCGCGGATAGCCTCGTACTGAGGAGAGAGAGCCGTTAAAAATTGCACCAAACGACCCTCTTCCCTAAACTGCACATAAGCATCGAGGGCTGTAAGACGAGGAGGTTCCATAAGAGCAAGCTGATCCCAGAGACCCGTCATCTCAACATAAAAATCCTGAATAGATTTATCCTGCTGACGAGCATGCTGAATAGCGGACTCTAACTCATACCGTTTGGCAAAGTTAGACTGTTGATAGAAACCAAATAAGTATTCCCACACCTCTTTGGCAGTAGGATATTTGGAGAACATCATTCCAATGCGATCTTCTACAGAATTATGAAACCAAGTCAGAATTTGAGCATTGTCACAATCCCATGTGTCACAAGCAGCTAGATAATTGTCCTGTTTTGGATCCAAAGGACGTGGTATAGACCCAGACACATAACCCCATTTTTTTCGACCCGTAAGAAAATTCTTCATAACAGTGGACCAATAACCATAATTGGCACCAGTGAGCCTACAGCTGATAGCCTGAATTTTATCATCCGACATGATGATACTAAAGAACCAAGAAACTTGAAACTTTGGGATCAAATTATAATTTCTGAGAACCTTGGGTAAAAGAGTAATAACCAGACTACTTCTTCTTCTTCCTTCTTTCTTTTTTTTTTTTTTGAACAGAATAACCAGACTTGTTGACAACCAGTTTAGAGATACCAAAGCTAGTATCAGATGAGTCAAGATATAATAAACCAAGAACCAGATTTTCCAAAATTCAGTAACTCAAACAAAAAGTTTCTAGAAGTCAAGAACTAATAGCTAGAAATCCCATGTAGAGAAAGAGAAGCACTGAGATCACTTCGAAGCAACCAGCAGATGCGACAAAGCAACCAGCAAAGTAGCAACAAACCACAGACAGAGCGAGACGAATCAACCCAAAATTATATAAGAACCAGTAAGCAGACCTTTGTGAGGAGAAAAGCAGACCAGACCATAAGGCACGAAAGAGGCAGAAACAGACAACCAGCAGGTTGTGACGATGGGTCTTGACCTGAACCCAGATGGATTGCGACGAACAGACGAATCAAGATGGATGGGTTGATTTCGAACCAGACAAAAACGAACAGAGATGGTTGCTAGGGTTTCGAATCCTTCAGATTAGGGTTTCGAACCAAGCTCTGATACCAGTATATGCAAAATTCAATGTGTCAAAGATTACAATCAGATCTTAGATTATATAGCCCTAAATCCTAAACCAAAAAGGAAAATACAAATACAATTATGTCTCTAACAGGACTCTAACTCAATAACACAATCATGCCTCTAATAGGACTCTAATTTGTACAAAACACACTAACTCAACACACTCTAACTCAATAACACAAATTTATAATATTCTATTATATTCTAACACATGCCCACCTTTGAACATACTCAATTGTCAAGGAGCATACAAGATAAAACCAAATTTATTTACAATCAAACAGCAAAATTATCATTAACCTCAAAATTCTCAACTATAGCACTTACTCACCAATATGGTGAAGAATATATGTTGCCAACAACATTCTCCGTGTTTGAATCCAGAAACAGTCACATAATTCTTTTCCATGTATTGGATTCCTCATCTATTAGACTAGAATCTTTACCATGTATTGGATTCCTCATATATTAGATAAAAAAAACTTTAATGTCACGATGCCATTAATCAGAAAGCCTGAAGTTTGAAGAATCTAGGACCAAGGATCTAGCCAACACTTAAAAAGCATTCATCCAAGTGCAACGGCTTGTTAGGGTGGGTAGCATAGCACCTCAGCGAAATTTTTAAAAAAAATGGTTTTTTTGGTTAATAGAACTCTATTGAGAAGGGAACTAAAATTTGATAAAATGTTCTACACCTGTCTCATAAGACAAACTTAGTAGAACTTAATTGTCTTGACAATGACAATGACAACAACGACAACCAAAAAAAAAAAAAAAAGGCATTATTTGGTTATCAGAACTCAACTTGGAAGGGAACTGGATTTGATAAGACGTTTTTCCCTATTTCATGAGACAAGCTCAGTTGAACTTGATCATCTACCCAAGGCACAGGAAACCCAGAACAATAACAGCATAACACAAGTTTGACCATTTCTTTCCAAATGAAGCTTCTTGCAATGTCCATATTCATTCCACCAAAACCTCAACATCCAATTGGATTTAATGAACTTTGACTTTCTTCGATTGCAACTTGATAAAGATCTAAATTCCAGGCCTGTTTAGTTGTGTTTTCATTTTGCATTTTGGCTTTTCATGTTTTCATAAATAAAAACAATGAAAAGTAAAAAGACATCCATCGTTTTTATGTAAAGAAGAATGACATCATCCCTATGGAAACACAAGATAGTAACAAAGAAAGATTTATGTGTATAATAATGACAATGATGAGAAAACACCAAGCCTAGATACCAAATATAAACATAAAAAAAAAAGAAAAAAAAAAAGGGATGAAGAATACCCTAGCCTTCAAAAACTTCATTGGCCCATCAACTTGGTTGGGAAGATTAAGTTAAATATCTACTTCAATTCAACTTAAGGAATGGGCAATGAATACCTTCTTCATTCAAATTTATTCTATTTTGATATAGACTTTGCACAAAAACTTCATTGACCCATCAACTTGGTTGGGAAGATTAAGGCCTCGTTTGGGAACAGGCTAATTTAGTAACTTTTTGGCTATTTGGCTAAAATATGAGCTAAAAAAAACTAGTATGTTTGGGATGACTTCTTGGCTTTTTACGAAAAGATATGCAAAAGTAGAGAGAAAAGAGAATTTTTGACTTTTTGGTATGGATTGTTGGCTTTTTGGCTTTTTGGCTTTTTTAGTAACTTTTTGGCATTTTGGCTAAACCGGCCTGTTGCCAAACGAGGCCCAAGTTAAATATCTACTTCAATTCAACTTAAGGAATGGGCGATGAATACCTTCTTCATTCAAATTTATTCGATTTTGATATAGACTTTGCATCAGAGGCAGCTTCTGCCAGGTGAGAGTTTGGGGGAGGGGTTAGGTCCGACTCTGTTCGATATATCTAAAAACAAGTAATTTATACACACATTTTCAATTTTAATTAATTTACAGATTTACACTTTTGTTGTTATTTTTGACACGTCGACAAGTAGTAACTTTTTACAGTTGTTTTGGATAATGAATCTAAGAGCCCACCATAAACGGGAGAACAGAACCAAATTTGGATCCTAATCCTAACTAGTTGATGAAACACCAACAGTTGAATTACCGACCACAAGATCTATTAGATATATTCATAAGTCCAATTTCAAGTTATAGTCTGAAATTCAAATTGAGTGGAAAATCTAACTCCCAAAGCAGGCAATACCTCAAGTTTGATCTACAACAAAATAGAGACATGGACGAATCTGAATTTTAAAAAAATAACAGAAAAACAGAGAGGCAAATTGCAAAAGAGAAAAAGCAATTACCATCACCAATTTTCAGTTCAGCAGCATTTTCTTCCTCTTCTCCTGACATGGCAAAAGCTCTCGAAAACAATCTGTGCCAGAAAATACAGATTAAAAGAAACCCCCAAAACAGAAAAAGGTATAAAAAATAAATATATGAATAAATAAAAACAATAACAACAACAACAACAATGTATACAAATCTCCCTATTGTAAAAAATATATATACATATATAACAGATACAGAGAAACCAAAATAGCCTCCACAATTGTGTTGAAGGTGTGTATCAACAATAAGATAGATAAAATGAACTAGAACATGTAAACAAGAGCAGTGATATATAAACAAAACAACTACAATACATACACACATGGAAACTGAATGAAAACAATGGATCGATCGATCAATAAATTAGATTTAGAATCAACTTACGTTGGTACAGCAAGCGTACAAAACAAACAGATTGAGCTAAAAATTGAATTATTTTAGGGTTTTTGTACCTCTTGCTCTTGGAGACAGGAAGATGACCCTGCACAGAGAGAGGGGGAGGGCTTTTCTTCTACGAAGAAACGATGATACACATTCATCGTAAGAAACCAACATAAAACGACGCAGTTTCATTGCAGGGTCACAAATTACGGGAAAATTAACAAAAATCCTAGGTATCATGAAAAACTTTTTATGAAAATAATCATGAAAGTTTTGTGACCTTTAGATTACACTTAGAATAAAACACCACACACTAATCAAGGTAATTCAATGATCATAAATTTTTCATGATTATTTTCATGAAAAAATTTTCATGATCCCTAACTTTTTCCGAAAATTAATAGGTAGCCTTCGGTGCTGTTTGATATTGTTGAAAATTCTAAATTTTTTAAGTTGAAAAATTATTTAATAATAATTTAAATACTTAATTAAAAATAAATTATTTGATATGTATAAGATTAAATTTAAAATTTATTATTTTTAAATTGTATATTTTAATTTTTATATTTTGATGGTGATGTAGTAGTGGTAGTTGTGGTGATAGTAGTGGTGGCGGCGGTAGTGAAGGAGATGGACATGATGGTGGTGATAGTGGTAGCAGTAGTGATGGTGATGGTGAAGATGGTGGTGGTGGTGGTGGTGGTGGTAGTAGATGCAGAGGTAGTGGTGGTGATAGCGGTGGCATGATGGTAGTGGTTGTGGTGGTAGTAGAAACAGTGGTAGTGGTAGTGGTGGCGGTGGCATGGTGGTGGTGGTGGTGGTGGCGGTGGTAGCGGTGGTAGCGGTAGTGATGCTGCTGGTAATGGCAATAGTAATGGCATGATAATGGTGGCAGTAATGATGGTGGCGGCAACAATGGTGGCGGTGGATGGTACTAGTGGCAGCGACATGATAGTGGTGGTAGTAGTGGTGGTAGCAGTAGTGATGGCGGTGGTGGTGGTAGTAGTAGCGGCGGCGACGATGGTGGTGATTGTGATAATGAGTTTATAATAGTGTATATTGATACTTATATTTAGTATTGTAGACACCCCATTTTTGATCGCCCGCAAGACTCAGACGCTTGGTTCAATGCACTCAATGATGAAAGTTGAATTGTGAATTCGTAGTGATTCGAAATCAATCAAGCTTCCAAAATAACCACACATTTTCAACATTTACCTTGTTTAAACCCATGAGTTTCATTTTTGAACCTTTTCCTACCCTGAGCTGAGTTTGAACAAAAAAAACAAGGGAGGCCATCAAGGCCCGACCGTGCATCAGTGATGGCCGGCCGTGGCTATGAATGGTCGGTCGGCCTTCAATGGTGACAAACACTGTTCTGGGCGTGAGACCGCCAGCTGTCTATTTTTGAAGATATTTATCACCTTTTGAGCTCAAATTCTATAAAACCGAAGCTTTGGGATTGTTTCGAGGGTTGAACAAAATTCTAGAAGTGATATATACACCTTGAGAGCTCTTGTCTTCTCCTTCTTCCATTGCAAGTCATGTTTGAGCTAACCTAGCTTGTTTGTATCACCTCTATACATCGTACACAATCTTGTCTTACCACCCTAAAGCCTTGGTTGATCTTGGAGAAGTATAATTCAAGCTTGAGAGTGCATTGAAACCAAGTTTGAAACATCAATAACAAGTTTACTTCTTGAAAGGTATAAGTTTGTTTTCTCTTCTCTTGCTTTCATTTCTATCATTTACTTCATAATTCTTGTTATCTTGGATTGTTTAGAGCTTGTTTGAAGTGTTTGGAGTTGGGTTTGAAGAGTTACCAAAAGGGTAGAGCGAGCTTGCTCTTTCTATACCTTTATTTATAACTCAAACCTTCTCTTTTTCACTCTTTTTCTTTAGTATTTACACTGATTTTCAGAGCTTTGGAAAGGCTAAAAATCATGTTTTGAAGTTTGTTTTTATCCGTGCTTATTAGCCTTAATTCTATTCTTTATTGTCTAACTTTTCAAGCTCTTTTCATGCATGTTTTACCCCTGATTTTCATGTATTAAGGGTTGTTTAGGCCTTTTCAATTGGTTCATACTTTGTTTAATACACTTGTGGTCTCATAAGTTGACATACTTGTTATTTGTTATGCTTTCTTTGTTCATTTTCCATGTTTGGAATCTGAGTTTACTAATCAATCAATCATTCCATATCTTTCATTCATGAGAATGGTTTCAACCAATTGAGATTGTTCAATACATGTAAAGGAGACCTACACTTAATGACTTAATCTCTCCGGAGATTCATCGTCAATGGTGTAGTCTCCTTCTCATGTCTTAGAAAAACTTCTTGTTTGACATTATTTCTTATTTAGAGGACTTTAACATCACATTTGGACAAATGGACTAATGAATGGCAATGACTAAAACAATTGGCATAAAACTTAGATTAACACACTTAAAGAAAATGGCTTAATAGCTTGAACTTGGCTGGATGTTATGCCAAGTTTCTTGTGTTAAGGGTCAACAAGCATCAATTCATGGTGTTTTTGGTGTCCTTAAAGCGTCTCAACTTCCTTTTTTGAGTTCGTTCCATGACAAAAAGAACGGGTGGTCATTTGCATTACATTCATTGATTTTTTGTCCAAAATGATATCCGAGATCATCAAGCGATCATATCCCTCATTGATGGTTGTAGAATCAATCCCAACCTTCTCTTGAGGCTTTCCCATGACAGAGAAGGGAGAAAGGACAAACAGAGCTTAAAAATGCTTCATCTGCACTGTTTTCACCTCAGAGCACAGAAACAGAGCTTTGCACAAAATGGATACACGACCGGTCATCTGTAGACCCAGCCGACCATCAATGATGTACAGCCAGCCCTTGGTGTGTGGCCAGCAATGCAGTTTTGCAAAAACAAAAGCAGTGGCTGAAGGTGAAACAGAGATGGTCTGGGCAGACGAAGTAGTTTTCAAGTGACCTGTATGCAACCTTCATCCATCTTTCATGGTGTTCTTATCAAATGCGTTTAATTATTTAATTGTTTTATTAGCGTAATAAATTGTGTTGCAATAATTAATAAGTCTAATTAGTTATAGCTAATTATTCGGTGTTGCAATATTTAATTAGCTTAGCCTAGCTAATTTCTTTTAATTAATTAGCTTAGATAGTTAGTTAATTACTCCTTTCAAGTGTTGTAATAATTAGTTAATTAGTTTAACTATTTATTCAAGTTTTGTAATAATTAGCTTAGCTTAGTTATTCATTCGGACTCTCCTTTGAGAGAGCGTAATGTAATAATGTGTATGTCTTTCAAACCCACGTCTTTCTCCCTTTTATTTACCTTCTTTTGATGGTTAGATTAGGGACATATTTCAATTAGCATACCACATGCCTTATGCTTGCATCCATTCATTTTGTCTTGTATGCACTGAGGCTCGGCATGTCATTCAAACTGCATTGTCATTTAAATACTTCTCTGAATACAAGTTTAACCGCATGTTATCAAAATCAATTCATATGCCATATTAGTAGCTGAGCCTGTTAGTTACATTCTTCGCATGTATTGCATTAGACATCTTGTATAGTTAGGAATCATGTATATTTTTCTAACTCATATCTTCTTAGCTTGGAGTACTAGGTGAGTTTTTAATGCTTTAACATACTTGCATGAGTGTGAGTGATTTCCATATCTAGTATGCTTGCCATGAGGCCAAATCCTTACTTGTTAAACTACTTGAATGCCTGTGGATGAAGGCTTGTTGCTTGAATTGGAACAATTGAACGAATGTACGTTTAAGTCCACTATGTCTAGTGTCAAATTCACTACTTTAACCCACTTTGTTCAGTGGCAAATTCACAAACTTTAAGCCCACTTGAGGTGGCAAAATCAAACCATTTTCACAAAACAAACATGAAATTGAGTTATTCCAATTCTTGCAATTTTAATCTATACTTGCTTGCGCGCATCACATAATAAAGTGGCAAATTCACAAACTTTAAGCCCACTTGAGGTGGCAAAATCAAACCCTTTTCACAAAACAAACATGAAATTGAGTTATTCCAATTCTTGCAATTATAGTCTATACTTGCTTGAGCGCATCACATAATAATGCTAGCCTAATAACCGAAACAAGAACACAAAATGTTGATAAAAAATCATATCATGATTAGTAGAGGTCGATCTTTGATTGGGCGAGCGGAGATGTTTCATTCATGACCTTCCCCTCTCGTACCTAAGTTCCTGAGCCGAGGCAACTTTAGTGATGACGGACACGTGGCCTTTGGCACGAGTCATGGGTTTCCTAAATTTTTCCAAAATAAAAATATTTAGGTGATGACTCTGTATTTGGCAAAACAGTCTAATTTTGGCATTTTTTATTCAAAATTAATTTTCCAAACAATTTGCCACATTTGGACTCTTTAGGTGTCGTTTGGTAACACTTACGTTTTCAGTTTTCTGTTTATATTTATAAAAATTTTAAAAACTCAAATAAAAACTTGTTTGGTAAAATTTTTGATTTATAAATCAGTGGTCTCAATTTATAAATTTGACCAAAAAATGAAAACACGAAAAATGTGTTTCCGTTTTGAGTTTTGAGTTTTTTTTTTTACCACCCAACACTAGCCACCACCCGCCACCATTTTCCACCACCACTTCTGCCACCACCACCCACTCCACCACCACCTGCCACCACCACTCACCACCCACTTGTCACCACCATCCGCCAGCACCACTCCGCCACGCGCACCCACCGCGCCACGCTACCTGCCACCGTCCACTCGCCACCACCTCGCCACACCCACCCCCACACCATCGACCTTACGCTGCCCTTTGCTTCTACCACTCACCAACCACACCTGTCACGCACCACGCCCACCATTGGCCACCACAACCCACCTACCGACCACCAGCCACCTACCGGGCACCACCCACGCTCACCCCACTCGTCGCCACACCCATCACCACTCACCACCTACCTGCCATCCACCCGCCACCACCCACCATCGCACCATCTACCATCCACCGCCGCACCGACACCACTCACTCACACACCACCACCTGCCACCTACTTGCACCACCACTCACCACCCACCGGCCACTACTGGCCATCTGGCCAAACCACCCGTTACCACCAACTCGCCACCCCACCTGCCACCACC